TTATGACGCTGTGCCCGCAATCGACCGGTTGATTCACGCTTGCTGCTAAATCTGTGCCCTTACGCCTGCTCTGTTTGACGCCTTGGCAAACCCGACAGGAAGGAAGACAGAAGAAGACTCAGCAGACCAGAGTTGTAGTAGGACAGAGAACGCTCATATTTATATATCGGTCTCACCAACCCTCCAAACATCACCAGGCGGATTTGGCTGTAAGCCCACGATCCACACTTGCTTGTCCGTTCCGTCTGTCCAGTTCACCGTCTTGCTCGGGCACTCCAGTCTTCGTCCGCCTACCCGGTGCATGGCAACGCACGTGATGTCTGACGCGCGATTTCATCAGCTTTCGGCTGGGCCCTGGCAACACGCTCGCAGGGTCTTTCCCAAGCACGATTTGTGCCAAACACGCGCGCGTTGGCAATTAGCTTTCTCGCCCAGCTGTCAGTGGATCGGTTCAATTACCTTGGTAGCTGTATAACCTCTGGTAGTCACATCACTGAAAGGGTTGCTTCGCGTATCAGCAAGGCCCAAGTGGCTTTCCAGTGACTCAAGCATCTATGGAGAAGGCGGGATATCAACCTGCCAGTGAAAGGGAGAATGTGGAGCGCTGTGATCAGAGAACTGACCAGTTCACGGACAAGACTTTAAACGATTGGCTGTTTTTGACCACCGGTGCTTGCGGAGTGTGGTGGCAACACCGGGTGAGCAATGCTGAGGTCCACTAGTAAGTGCCTCACTCGAATGTTTACTGAATCTTAATCGCTTACGTAGGCCAGGTCGTGTCCTCTGTATGCTTATTGACTGGCTTCCTCGGTGTACATTACACGCCGTGGTTGCACCAATTTGGAGGAAACCGCAAGGTTGCCAGTCTATGGCGTGGCATAGTGGCATGAAGAAACTGAATGAGACTTGGTCAGGCTGGTGCGTGCTGTCTTTGTGGATGGGGGCTTCGGGATGGTCCACACCAATGGTTGGAGACCGTGTCAGACATGGTGTAGTCACGCAGTCAGTTAGAGTTCCCGCATGCAATTTTTTTTCATTTGATTGTTAATTTTGGTTCCATTCTGCTTAGTTTAATTCACTTCCTTCTTGCTTCCATTTTCTTTACATTCTATTTGCCCACGCGTTCTTGCCGTTGTTATTTATTATTATGCTCTCGATGCGAGTCGTGGCAATTGAATCCACCGCACTTCTGTGATCGGATCACAGCTGTACAACTGAACTGAACTGAACGTTAAGGTCAAATCTCGTGGCGACGGATGCAATCACGCATATCTGCGGAGTGAATCAAAGCAGTCGGTGCGTGTCCACACGTAGCCCGATGAAGGTGTATAAGAGAATTTAGTGCGAAGTGCAAAATACACGAGGAAGAAGACTAAAGTGATAAGGTGCGCTTAACGATGATTTTAATAACCGAAGAGCAATGACACATAGGAGAGCGGTAGAAAAGTAAGCCACTCGGTCACAAGCGCAAGAATTTGGTGTAGCGCTCGCGGCTGAACGGGTTCATATCGTGGTGAGGTACTTTGTCCACCTCCGTCATGCATCGAGATGAGTAGCGGTGATTTCCAACTACCTTCACAACCACTGGCACAATACGAGTGAATTGATAGAGGACAGGCAAAATAGGTCTTGACATAGTCCCCATAAGAAGTTATGCTCTAAGAATTCAACTGACATATCAGCTGAGTAGGAGTGTGATAAGCCATGCTAGCATACGGTGGGAAGATACAGTGCCCACCTCTAATAAACGAAAAGCGTTGCCGCTCGTTGTCGTTATCAGTAAACTGGCACATAATGACCATGTGCAAACCCACCAAAAGTTATCAACAGATGACCGTGTTATCCGGTGCATTACAGGGTGTTTAAAAATGAACCACTTATGGGGATAGTATCGAACAGGTTTCCTAGAACTTGGGTCAATATCCCCCCAAAAGCCATGACTTTTCACGTAGACCGAAGACACATAACGATTGGAAATCAATAACTGTCAGTCCGGCTATCCTGTTCGACAATTTGGCTCAAAGAGAAAGTGCATGTCGAAAAACTTGCCCATTTGTTTCAAAATTCACAGAACGTAACCTGGGTATCACATGGTGCTACCTGGACATTACTCACATTTGTCGAATCTCGGCAGTTTGTTGGTAGCCGAGAAACCAGTAGAGGATGTATCAGTAACTCCACCTTGTATCACACATATGCGTGGTCAACGAACATGACATATCTTGACGTCAGAACTATCTTAGACCTGGCTAACCACAAAGGTTCGTTTGCAGGAAGCGTTCGGAAGTCACTCTAAGTTGAAGCTGGGAAATCTTTTCATCTACTGTGAATCTAGTCACAACTAAGAGGGACCAATCGATGAGCTGCGAATGATGTCCACACAAGCATGAACTGCAGCTGATGCGTCTGCAGCTCCAGATATGTGAAGCTAGTAGTGAGAGGAGGATGAGGACAATAGATCCGGTAACCCCTTGAAAATTATAGATCCGGTTTCTGGTATATATATATATATATATATATATATATATCAGAAGTGGGAGAAAATGTGCCCAAACTAGGAAAAGATCAGTGAAAACAGAAATGTTCATGCTCTTGCATGAGTGCATGTTGACGCCGATTCATAAGCCCATTATGTATATATTCTTGGGCCATGATGAAATAGATCATCAGGTGAGTCGTCGGATGAGAACATGGACACTAACACTTCTAGATCTAAGAATCTGTCGAGTTCTTGTGTGTGTGGGGTTTTCACATGTCGCGATTGCGGTGGGCAGGTTGTTCTAATGGACGGCGTAGCTGATGAGAAAAATGTTGGACCACATGGCTTTTCTAGCGCTTGGTATCTGTGGCGTACAATTTTTGTTACTGAGTATGTGAGAGTTATTGTGTTTTTTCTAAGTTATGTAAGAGTACATTTTCTGGTGGAGGAACATCAAGATTCGCTTGACGACGCACGCAGAAGCTCGAAGTGAAACCGCAACGTTCGCGGTAGTTTAGAGGATGTGTTACTGAACAAATGTTTGGTGGATGACCTCAGTAAATTTTCTATAGCTTTCTTGTCTAATTTCCGCATGCTGCCATAGGTGAAGTCGCAGTATTTGAGAATAGGACGAGTGAGCGTTTTGAATAATTCCAATCTGATAGAGACTGTATGGATTTGGTGGCATACTTTAGCCGAGGATTGTTTGGCCCGATCTATTTGGTATTGGGCTTGTTCAGAAAAGCGGAAGTTGGAAGAATATCGGATTCCACAACCACGGTAACTTGTTGTATAGACATACTTTTAAGTTTAATTGATCTATCGGAGATCGAGCAACCGCATGACTACAATATTTGATTTTTCAGATGAGAATTTTATCAACCACGTCTCAGACCATTCTTCAAGAGAGTTAACATCTTGAATTAATAGTAATGTACTCTGAAACACATCAGGCCAGAGTTTATAAACAATATTGATGTCATCAGCAAAATAGAAAGTGTTGGTCATTTTTGATGGACTTGCCAATAGTATTGATGTAGACGGAAAAAAGCAGAGGGCCGAGTACGGTTCCTTGGATGACGCCTGTGGTTATTGGATAATGAGAAGAGTGATGATTACCCAAATTGATTATTTGAGGCCGATTGCTAAGGTAGGAGGAAAGCCAAGTAAAAAGGATTTAATCTTCTTCCATAACCGATTGTGTGGTCAAAATTATTACTACATAACCGGAGTCTATGGATTCTGAAGTATAGCTGGCAGGTGGTGCAGGAACTTCCATCAAGGAAACCATGTTGAGATGTGTTAAACAGGTTAATGGAATTAAGGAAATCCATCAAGGTCTCCTTGACTAATCTTTAAACAGAATGGCGATGATGGAAGTATGAGGAATCGGTCGGTAATTGCTGATTTTTTGCTTGGGACCACTTGTATGACATGAAATGATGAATGATGTTTTTAACGATCAGGGAAATAACTAGTTTGTAGCGATAAAGCGAACATGTTCAAAAAAGTAAGTCTGGCCCTCCCATTTTAATTGCAGTTGTAGGGATGCCGTCAGAGTCCAACCTGAGAGAAGGTTTGTTGGTTTTCATTAGCCGCTGAATAGTGCTGAGAAAGTTCGATACTGCTTAGACTTTCAGTTGTTACGGACCGAGAGCATTCAGGTATGGGGTCAAATTCAGAAATCATGGAGGCAGCAAAGAAGGCGATAAACGCCTCACAAATGGCATGTGGGTCACTCAAAGATTTACCATGTTCATCCAAGAGTCCCGTGAAAGAAGAGCTGTTACTGATTGCATGACGAAGAATAGCGAGGAGTTTTGTTGTCTTGTTACCCGTTCGTAGACCATTTTCTTCTCCGCTTTTGAGTCTCATCATTTGCGCAGGTTTGATCCTAGTGGTCCATTCGTTCACTTGCAATATCGTTGAGAAGTCCCCGGTCTTGTGAACTCTTGCCAGCGATTTGTGCCTTTTCTGGGTGAGTAGGTGTTTTTTGCATCCTTTGAGCCGTAGGGAACACTTTTAGTTTGTGCAGTAAAATGGCATGGACGTTTTACCAGGTTAAGGACCAAAGGGCGAAGGCCACAAAGGACCACGATGGTTGGCCATTGTGAGACAAACAGTTACGGCTTTTTTGTCTCTTACCAAAAAGTCGTGGTGCCGTATCACATAATGTCCAGTGACAACCCCATAGACGCTGTGCGTAGCAGCTGACCGACTGATGGTATACTGAGAGCAGCTGAGACATGAAATCGATCGTTCGAATGTAGGTCAATTAGACCTAAGAGAGCGAGTAGCTTAAAGATGGTGATACATCAAAGGAATGCAGACACAGTGTTAATGATGACCCCGGTGGGAAGCCAGTCTGATCGGTCCCGCATCGCAACACACGTGTTGCTAACCTGACTCATGGAACAAGTCAAACGAAAACAAGTAGTGGATTCGTATTTATTAGGGTTCAAAAAGGTAAGAAAGTAAGCGTACCTCTAAGGTAATGACAGCAGAAAGTCCGAAAACTCACCATTTTGTGAATTGTGATGAGAGCTCGCTGACCCGATCTGGACATAGAGATTGATTGTACGGCATGTGTTTCTTTAAACAATGTCAGGTGATCCAACAATCCATAGCTACTTCCAGTCACCGGTTGGCCAGTAGAAGAGCAAACGGTGGTAGAAGCTGCCGAGGAGACACCAGTCCCCACTCCTACGCTGGTGGCGGAGCCTAGACCGCTTGTGGTAGTGGTTGACGTGGAGGTTGTACACACCGTCGCAGAACTGGCGCTTGTCTCACTGGCCACAACTCGACCAGCGCTCGTGTCAGAATTCGCAGCCACCATAGTAGACAAAGAGTGCACGAGTCCGGCAAACGATCGCGAGTGTGAACCAGCGAGGGCGGCAGCAGCAGCAGCTGCAGTGAGTGCGCGAACTTCAGTTGTTACGCCGCTAGAGCCAGTGTATGCCGCAGAGGAGCGTTCCAACGGGGCTCCAAACAGGATGGTTAGACTGCTACCACCAGGAGCCAATCCACTGCTTCCGGTAGGAGACAGAACAGTGTACGGAGTTCCGCCAATGGTGGATCCAGAATGATGAAGAACCGAGCGGATATTGGACTGAGATTGTTGCTGTTGTTGTGGTTGTTGTTGCATGTGTGAAGTGGTGATTCGTGACACGTTCGCGGGTAAAATAGGCATGTCAATCAAGGTTGCAGCTACGAACAAACAGAAATGAGATGCAGAGAGAAAAACAACGTATGCATTAGCATATAAAGCGTAGTGATACGGATTTCGACGATTACGTGTACCAAGCGTTGGCTAATTATCGCAAGCAGACTAGATGAACGATCCGGTCTAGCCATCGGTCGCAATGTACGGTGTTGAGATGAAAGCGCAACTTATTAGTACAGCAGTCAAAAGCAAGAACATTGCGAGGAAACAAAGTCGACCAGAAGGAATGAGTCCAGTGGCGCTTGGTGAGCACAACTCGAGGTGACAATTGAAACGCTTGATACGGTGCATCGCTCACCTAGTTCCAAAATGTGTACCTGGGAGTATGCGTCCTGAACAGCAGCATTCGCTCTCGGTATAGGATAGGCTGTCGGGTCGAGTGGGAGGCTGGGTAAATTGGCCCAGTCCAACACGTAACAAAACAAGAGGGTGGGTACAAAACTATAAGCGGAAATGGAGAGTAACTATGATGCACGCGCGCATTCCGCTTCGGAAAATGGATTGCATCAGTAATGAGCTAACAAAAAACCCCGATGAGAGAAGAAACACGATAGGAATATAGTGCAACCCCAAGGAATACGTCGAGTGAGAACGTTTTACACTAGCATACAGCTGCAAGTGGGTGCTAAGTGAAATCACAATTGCAATTACCGCTGCACATAAGGTATGACGATAGAGGTTACCAGCTACAAGATTTATACGCTTACATGGGACAGTTGAAGAAGCTGAGCAGGTCTGGATTGTGGCAGAGCCCTGAGGAGTAGCAGGGGTGAAGGTATGGGACGATTGTACACCCCAAGATAAATTTCCGGTCGAAGTGTTGATGGACTGGGTTAATCGTTGTTGCCTGGACAACCGGGCCACTGCTAATGCGGCTGCAACGGATGGGTTGTCAACGATATTAGTTGTAGTGGTGGAAGCACTCGAAGCGGAACTGCTCACAGGTGGAGTGCTAGTGGTGACATCCGTAGGGCCACCGGGGGATCCACCCGAAGATGAGTACGTGGTAGGTTCAGCAGGATTAATGGAGGTGAGAGTCACATCATCGTCAACGAAGGAAGACAGAGGTCGGACTACAGTGGTTGAAATCCCAACTGGAACCACAGTCGTCGTGGTAGCTTCAGTTGAGGACGAAGGAGTATCACCGCCTTCGACAGTGTTTGATGGAATGTCATTAGCTGCGGCAGTAGAAACAGAACCAAGGGGTCCAAAACGGAACAACCTTATCCGGTGCAGGCTGTCAGCAACAAGCAATTGATCCACTTGGTTAGTTAATGGACCAGCCAACGTCCCTAAGTTTCCAACAGCAGAGGTTCCGCAGTCGGGCCCACCGGGAGCGGTGAAGCCATTCAGTTGATTGGGTTTAGATCCGGCATACTGGGTGTTGAGACCGAGTGGAAATACGGCAGCCATACTTTGTACACGGTAGCCTTCAACACTAGCTAAAATACGTCCACGGTCATTTGTATCCTGTAAGTGTCGACAAAGCAGAAAGTAAAAATATAAAACCAACAACAGAGAGAAAGCAAAGACAACAGCTACTAAGATTAGCCCTGTCGAGAGTAAGCGATCGCCCAGATGCAATAGGACAAAAATATCGAAAACATCTCAACAACCGCTAGAGACAACGATAGAGAAGAATTACTATTCGGCAGGTAATCGGACAGCGTCGCAATGGAAAATAGATCTACTGACCAAAAGTGGAATGTGTGCGACACGATGTCAATAAGGACGGAAAAGTATCGTGTTAGAGCGGAGTGAATCTTGAGGTGTTTGCCCTGTTGGAAATGTGGATGCAAACTGTCAAAATCGACTCATGTGTTACAAAAACCAGAACAAAATTCATGACCTTGTGGTAACTTTCATGCCAGAGAGGCCCGTATTACATAAGGCTAAGCAAAAGCACAACGTGACCAATCTGTGACATGGCCAAAAGCTGAGAACAAACGCACTGAGTAATCGAGTCAGGCGGATACATGTGGCAATATAGGAGAGCAGCTTTGAGATCTACCATGGAAAACAGTTCTAACAAATATGGCGTTGCCACGAAGGTAGCTGCGCCCCTACACTCGTTTCCTGGTTTTTGACTCCAGGTATCATTCATCTAACCTCTGAATGACCTAAAACTTTCTTTTTCTCCGAACTTTTTTGTTGTTAAGTTTACGATGACATGAAGCAAGCTGACTGGTTTCGGTGCCTTTTGGTATGTTGATTAAAAGTATTCAGTCAAAATGAAGTGTTAACCGGAAGCAGGCACAAAACAACAGCATGTGCATCGCCATTGAAATATACAATAGAAGAAAGGCGAATTGATCAAATATAAGATTGTAAACACGTTGATGGCACGAAATCCATACCGAGAAACAAGGTCACTCCGAAGTTTGATCATCAATAACTGCATCGCCTAGCGAATGAAGCTAACATGATGGCGTGGCTCGATTAGAATGAAATTGATTAGCATTTCTCAAGTACAATCCAATGTCTAGATCACGGGACCCCATAGCGAAACACTTTATCATTAAACAAAGGTTAAAATGGAGACGAAATGATGCAGTAAGACACAGTAAATGCCAAATGCAAGGAACACTGGAGTTTCCTTCGATTCGCTGCATTGTCTCGTGTCTGTCAAACATGGCAAAACGGAAACTCGAACTGAAGAAGCCCGCTCATGTGGAACACTAGTGCAGTAAACGTGAAGCTGCAATACCGTGGAATGCCGGTCGGTACACTGCGTCAACATCACACATCCACATGCATAAAAAATACCAGCAAACGTATCGCAGCAGCATTGAGTGATGCGGCTCTACACCCGGTTCATAGTACATAAAGCACAAAACCATACATGCCCACATGTTGGCCAACAGGGGATCGGTTAGCCATTGGCCTGAGCGCTATTCGCTCCCACAATGATCCATCACTTCAAATCTCTAAGTCACAATGACCATAGATAAAGTCCGTACAACAAACACGGATGGTCATCATCAATACACGTTAGCTGGGGGTGAAAAACACCTCTCAGCGGCAACAAAAAAGATAAAATATAAAACAACAAAAACTATAAAAAAGAAAAAAGCAATATAAAGATAAGTATCGTGTTTTGCAGTGGGAATGAGATCAAGTTTGGAGGGTGAAGCTAAAGGGTAAGGAAAGAACAAAAAACAACCCAAACGCCACTGAGATCGGCTTCTCACAATGTTAACAAGCATATAAAACCAAACGTATTCATCGTCCTTCGGACTGCAGCAGGGCATCCGGGAGACAACATCCGATGTCAGATTGGAAGTGAGGGTTTTCGCTCCTCTTGAGAAACCCAGTGATTGGCATCCTCTCCATTCCATCCACACTCGAGTCGTGAAAATAATGCACGACGCGAAAATGGATTTATTGGAGTGCAAAACTAAGGAACCAGCCATCGGAGCCTGGTATTTTATATAACGGTGCTGAGCGGTTTCCGATCTTACTGCACCAATCTTTAGACGCCGAACATGCTCATTGCTCATGCGGTGTTCCATCAGGCATGCGCTAAGCTGCGAAGGCAGCGATGATCGAAGGTAAGTAGCTTCTTTATGTGTGTCGACTAGATGGGTCAAGTTTCACAACCGAACAAGAGTTCCGTGACCACATCTTCTATTCAAAAACCGTGAATACAGCTCTCCAGATACATGAATTTTGTACGCGTTCTAGTTGAACGCCACTTAGGGTCAGCACACGGGTACTTTCTTTCCAATCTTGGAGAAGGATTTTGCATTTCGAATGAAAAGCATAGCCCAAAAGGATAGACAGTGAGTGCTGGTTGGCGTTTAGGAGCTGTCACAGATTAGACCAAGGTCGTCGGCATACTCCAGGTCAAGAAGTCAAAGACATCAGGAGTACGACGGTATACAGTACCGATGTTTTGCTGCCGCCCAACCAGCACCGGTCGCACGCGGGCTAAGGATACTGCGATGGTCGCCCTGTCCCTCTGCAGGCTCAAACCCGCACCATCAGATTACAACACCAGCTTGTTACCGTTAGGCTACGGGACAGGTCAAGAAGTCGCTCGCCTGGAAGCAGATTCACACATCGTAGGTCGTATCCAGTGAACGCCGCTTCCATGACTTCGTCAATGGACAGCAGGCAAACTTGTCTCACACAGCTTGAGATATTGAAGAGCGGGGATAATTTACCATAAATCCTCACTATGCTCGAAATATGTGCGTACAGTGCTTTCATGAGATATAAATATATGTCGAGCACATTTCCCTGAGCAGACCGTCTCAAAGGGCATATCGATTCACCAAATCGAAGACCCCTTTTATGAAGAACACGACCACAGCGGGTCGTCAACAAATATGGTGGCGTTACATCTGACATAGATGTGGTCGATGCAGCCCCGACCTCGACGAAACACTGCTCGCTGCGTGCGAATCTGGCTTTCACGGGTGCCAGCCACACTGTGGAGAACGACTAACACGAGCAAATGAGATCAGACTAATCTATCTACGATTACCGCATTCCAAAAGCAAACCTCCCTTGAAAAGTGGGACTATAACGGAGCGACTCCAGTCTGTTGGGATAGTCTCCTTCTCGCACACGTTGACTAGTAAGTTGTGCAAACCATCTACAAGAGCTGGTTATCCGAATTTGAAAAACAAGCCTGAAAAGTTTATCTATGCTGCGTCCTTATGCAAGCGCAATAATCTGAGCTCATGCTCGACTTCTACGCGTAAGGGCGGTCCAAGGAGAAGGGTAATCAATGGCCAACAAGGAATATGATAACTCTGATTGAGTAGACTGCATTTCAGTGTTCGGCTCAACGCTTTAAACGAACTATGGATTGACTGTCCACTCATCGCGTAGGTCTCGCTAACACCAGGTCTTCTGCTCGTTTCCCATATCAGACGGAATAATTTACGATCGCTATTGATGGCAGCGAATGTTTCCATCTCCGAAACACAATGAGAACACCAGGTCACTCTTCAGGCAAGCAGCAGTTTTACCCGCTATGTTCGAATGCAGCCGGAACAAGCCAGTGAGTAGGTAAAAGTTCCAGACACTGCGTGGAGACCAGGTTGGCAATTTGATTTGCCACATGAAGACATGTCTGCTGCTAATAACGTCTGGCAGGTGTGCGACTATTGATCATCAACAGTGTTCAGTGAGCGTTTATTCAGGTCAGATGTCAGCGTACTTTGATACGTACTCAGAGCACCTGGCATTGCCAGTTCGCTGGTGTCTCTGCGCTCACAGCATAGCTGTGGACGTCCGTTGATACGCAGCCGCAGATCGGAGTTCATGCCCGTGCTCCAAATCGAGCGAGTTTCATGCACAGATTTGGACTCGACGGGTAGGATGATGCTATGTAATCGATACGGGAAAACGTGAGTTTGGAAAGGCACAAGTGGTTGATTGACTAGTTAAGGAAATGAGCTAATCTGTCGAAGGATAGTGTAGGTTAGTAGAACTCGAGCCAAGTTATGTGGAAGTAACAGTAGCAATGAGAATGGATATTGCCCAAAGACAGCTTTTCCAATCACTCACATGTTGAACAAAATGATTAAAGGAAGTGACTAAGACATAATTACGGTTGATCATAATGTCAAATAGAAGATATAGTGCAGAGTAGCCTTTCACAACCCCTTTTGTTGTGATGATAATGATTTCCTGAAAATCCTCAGATCCGGAAGACGATGATGAATAATCCCAGAACAGCAATTATTTGGCGTTCAATCCAAATATATACTGTTAGCGTCACAAACAGTTGAAGTACCTCAAAACAAAACAAAACTTAAAGAAGAGTATTAAAAAAGGTCTGTGGTTCCTCTGTACATATAACCATTCGTTTACCTAATTAAGCGTAAAAATGCGGAAAATGCGTTCGAATTTGCCAAACACCGGTGAGTCACTAAAGTTTGACACAATGTTTGTGTGTACAGTAAGTTGGAGTAATCCCGCACAGGAAGTAATTCCACATCTTTTCTAGTTATATAACTTTTTCGTAAATGGTAGTTTTGATCAATGTAGGAATCATGCTTTTTTAGTGATGCCATTTTGCCAGCTTCTCGTTTACATACGATCAGCACCATGTACAAGTGTTCAGCTACAGATATAGAATACATAAACTATACAGAGTTATCTGTATATAAGTAGATATGTTACACTTTTTAGAAGTCTATAGTCGTCTTAAAACTCACTGTATTGCCAGAAATCGAGTAATATTGATTAATATGGTTATAGTGTTAAGAATTGTTCACGTTCAAATCATTTGTCTCATGAGCTGATTTTATCTTTGTGAGTGACAAATGCCTAGCATTTTAGGGAAATTACGCACCCCAAATTAAAAGCTGGTGAAATAATTCCATGTATCACTGTGTGAATTTAACCCATGTTTATTTCTGAGCCATTTGGATGTGAATGATCTAACATAGATTTCTTTTCGAGTTTCAGAAAGGTTCGAAACTACAAACGTAAAAAAGACAGCATAGGACACA